GAATGAGCGAGAGAGAGGGAGAGATATAAAGAGCGAATGAGTGAGCGAGTGAGCGAGAAAGCGAGATTTAAAATTCTAGTGAGAGATAGAGAGTAAGAGAAAGAGAGAGAGAGAGAGAGAGAGAGAGAGAGAGGAGGGAGAGAGAGAGAGAGGAGGGAGGGAGGGAGAGAGATTTAAAATGCAAGCGAGAGAGTGAGAGAGAAAGAGAGAGAGAGAGAAAAGGCGAGAAAAAAGCGAGAGGGAGTGAGAGAGAGAGAGACAGAACCGAGTAGTGAGCGTAGATATTCGCTGACTACGCACGTCTTGGCAGACAAGCGAGTAACTACTGTTGCTGCATCGTTACTCCGTCTCCATGTCGCGCTTGAGCTTGGTTAAAGCTGACAGCATCTTGTCCCGCCACAGCCGCCTTGCCCCCATCTCTCCACACGGCGTCATCTCCTGCAGTTGTTTGTTAATCTGCTCAAGAGATGGCGGTGGTGCTGTGTACGCCGGCGTCGGTCCCATGGTGGCGCTCACACGCTCCAGGCCGGCTCCATATCGGCGCATGTAGTCGACCATGCCTAAACAAGAGAACGCATCTACTTAAAAAGATATACAAATGAAAAATGGCGGTACGAAGGTGCAGGAGTAAGGGTAATCATTACCAGAATTTAGGTTAAAGGAATATTTACGAGACTTTTTGCTCAAAAAGACATGATATAATTACAAAAAAAAATAATTATCGGACACGGTTTCCATGGCAACGGCTTAACTGACGCACACATCTACACTTCGTGATGATCAAGTGTATGAAGTTTCATTGGAATCCCTTGAAAACTGTGAAAAGAGTTTGCGCCATGAACCTTTTGCAACGGCAGGGAGTGGTATAATCAACGATGCGATACGGTTTCTATTGCTACGCCTTGACTAACGCACACACAAAATATGTCGCACACATCTACACTTCGTGGTGATCATGTGTATGAGGCTTGATTGGAATTCCTTAGAAACTGTGGAAGTAGTTCGCGGCACAAACTTTTTGCCACAAACTGGCCGACCGCCAGACCGACCGATTGTGAGATCACCTCCTATATACCCCCAAAACTTCGTTTGCGGGGGGAAGAGATGCCAACCACCTTGATTTATCCGTATTTTATACGAATTTCTGTTCCTTTTGCACCACTACGACCAGTTTGTATCAAACTACGAATTTCACTGTGATAGAAAAAAAGCAGGAATTCCTCCAGGATTCCTCAGAATGCAGGAAATTGCATCTCAGAATCAAACATTTTTCCGGGGGGCATGCCGGACACCCCTAGCAAACACGGGTCACGTACTAATTTGATGACCAGAAACTACAGATTGTTTCAAATATGTGTTGGCATCTCTGGGGGGGTATAATTAACTGCTGATAACCGCCCCCGATTATTCGTATCAGTAAAGCCTGGCGCACATTGTCACAATGTGCGCCGGGCTTAACCTCACTTTAACTGTTAGACACTTTTGTTAACTTTGTTTGAAGGTTACGTTAATTTATGCGAACTATCTGACCGTCTACGTTCAGGTATTAAATTATTTGTATGTGACCGCTGTGAAGGTTGTTACGTGAATTTATGCAAACGATCTTACCGTCTTACGGTTCCAGGTATTAAATTATATTGTATGTGACCGCTGTGAAGGTTACGTGAATTTAATCGAACGTCTGACCGTGCCTACGTTCAGGTATAAAATTATTTGTATGTGACCGCTGTGAAGCGGTTTACTGTTAATTTAATGCAAACGATCTTACCGTTTACGTTCAGGTATTAAATTTGTTATAATGAACCAACTTGGTGAATGGTTACGTTATTTATGCAAAGATCTACCGTCTACGTCAGTATTAAATTATTTGTATGGTGCAGTGGCGTACCAGCAATTGAAACAGGGGGGGCCAAGGCGAGGGAGCGAAGCGACAAGGGGGCGAAGGGTCTGGGAGGGGTATCCCCCTAACCACGGTAGGGGAGATTTTTTGAAATTCGTGCATGAAAAGGGCATTTCTGCAACACTAAAATTCAGTATTAGGGTAACTTATATGAGAAGTGGCATAATGCTAATCCCCTTATAACCCCTCCTCAAGCTTTTTATTTTTCCACTCCGATCCGATCAACGTGGGACGATGGCCCTGGCCGTGGCGCCAGGGAAGGCTCTGAGGTTACACACGACAGTTGGGGACCCTTAGCTAGACCAGTGAAAATGGTGAACGAAGCCCGTGTTTTTCAGTGAGGAAAGAATAAGAGTTAAGCGACCAAAGACAGTGATGAAGCTAATTTCTCTCAACGGGGAGGAGTGTCCCTTCCCCACAGTAGAGTAATTTTTGAAAAATAATGTGCCATCAAAATTGGCATTTTTGCGCAAATTTCAGAATTTTCATTCTTAGGTGTAGGTAACAGTGGTATATGACCATCCTCTTTCAGGGCCCTGCCGGAGGCCCTGCACGAACTGCAACTGGCAAGTTACAAGAGTCTGCTTGTAATTGTAATGGCTCGCAAAGAACGTAATGTTACTCGTGTAATAATATCAAAAATCGTTGCGCGCAATGCGTATGTTTCTAGAAAAAACAAAGAAACCCAATTTCAACCCACAAAGGGAAGGATGTCGAATCTGCCACCAAATTGTGCTTCGACTATATGGTCATATATAACGATATTGATTATAGTGTGCTAATGAATTTAATAATTCACGATGTAGTATGTGATCACAGGGCGTGTACAGTATTGTACCAGGGGGGTGGGGGTCTAACCGTAACCCAAAACTTGGGCAGCTATGCGAAGGGGTGGTCTTGAGGGGCGCCTCGCTGCCCCCCCCCTCCCCACCCGGCCCCCCCCGCCCGCCGCCCCCCGCCCCGCCCCGCCGCGCCCCCCCCCCGCCCCCCGCCGCCCGCGCCCCCCCCCGCGCCCCGCCAGAATTTTTTGAAATTAGACTCCCCTTAGATGCGTTTTCTGCGTGAGCAGAGGGAGGGGTCCGACCCCCTAGCCCCCCCCCCTAAGTGTAACACGCACCTGTGATCAATACTTGCTGTTTGCCGCTGTTTTGGACGGTATGGGATACATAGAAATTAATAGGTGAGTTATGCAAATTTTGCAGGGTAAAGGGGTAATTTGAGTGCATCATGTGCATGGTCTTTCATCTGGCAGTGGTGGGTGTTGCTGTGTATTTATGCCTTTTTGTTTGCACCAATTTCCATTTTCATTGATAATGTATTTTTTGTGCATTCCGCAGGGTAGGAGGTAGGGTAAGTTATGTGAAGTGGACTCAGGAGTTTTTTGGTTTTTTTTTGGCTCGCCGATCAACAGGGGGGGCCCATGGCCCCCTTGTGCCCCCTTAAAGCTACGCCAGTGTGTATGTGACGCGCTGCGTGAATGGTCAACGTGCAATTATGCGAACGAATCTTCAACCGTCTACGTCAGGTATTAGATTATTTTGTATTGGGACCGCTTTTGAAGGTTTCGTGAATTTAATGCGCAAAGATTTTACCCGTCTACGTTTACAAGTATTCAAATATTTGTATGTGACCGCTGTGAAGGTTACGTGAATTTACGCAAACGATCTTTACCGTCACGTTCAGGTATTAAGATTATTGTATGTGACCGCTGTGAAGATTAGCCGTGAATTTATGCAAACTATCTGACGCGTCTACGTTCAGGTATTAGATTATTTGTATGGTGACGCGCTGCGAAGATTACGTGAAATTTACGCAACAACTTACCGTCTACGTTCAGCGTAATTAGATTATTTGTATGTGACCGCTGGAAGGTACATGAATTATGCAAACGATCTTACCGTCTACGTTCCAGGTATTAGATTATTTGTATGTAGCGCTGGGCGCGAAGGTCTACATGAATTTATGCAAAGCGATCTTACCTGCCTACGTTCATGGTATTAATATTGTATGTGAACCGCTGTGAAGGTTACGTTGAATTTATGCAAACTTATCTTACCCGTCACTCAGGTAATTAAATTATTTTTGTATGTGACCGCTGTGAAGGTTACGTTAATTATGCCAAATCGATCTTAACCGTCTACGTTCAGTATTAGATTATTTGTATGTGACCGCTGGTGAAGGTTACATGAATTTATATCAAACGATCTACCGCCTACGTTCAGTATTTAAATTATTGTATGTGACCGCTGTGAAGGTAGCGTGAATTTATGCAAACTATCTTCCGTCTACGGTCAGGTATAAATTATTTGTATGTGACCGCTGTGAAGATTACGTGAATTTATGCAAACGATCTTATACCGTCTAACGTTCAGGTATTAAATCTATTTGTATGTGGACCGCTGTGAAGGTTACTGAATTTATGCAAACTATCTTACCGTCTACGTTCAGCGTATTAGATTATTTGTATGTACCGCTGTGAAGGTACATGAATTTATGCAAACCGATCTTACCGCTACGCTTCAGGTATTAAATTATTTGTATGTGGCGGCTGTGAAGATTACTGAAATTAAATGCAAACGACTTATACCCGTCTACGTTCATGGTATTAGATTATTTGTAATGACCGCGTGTGAAGATTACGTTAATTTATGCAAAACTATCTACGTCTGCGTTCAGGGGGCCGTCCTAGAGGACCGGAGAAGCATATCGCGGTCCGAGACCGCCCACATCACCTTGTCAATGTCCGCCAACACTCAGCACTCGCATCCAATGCAAGGCAACGACGGTGACGGGCTTTGAAAGTGGATGCACGTCACCG